TGCTGAAAAAAAAACACATTCTACTGAAGCTTTTCATCTTACATTCATCAAGACAATTTGCAAGAGTTCAACATTTATGAGGCTGCCTGACAGGAGAGTGTTGATTGGTTGACAAGTGGATTCTGATTGGATATGGCATCACCACGGAGAACGTAACCATTAATAGCCAGGTATAGTTTTCATTTTAAACCAGCCAGGCTCTCCTGAGAAATGACCCAGCGAATGGCTGTCACCCATTTTGTTCAGTACACGTACATATTATTGCTATTTGCAAAGAACATGATCTTGTTTATCAATATACGTAGCTTCCAGTACTTGCAAATGTGCTATCCTGACAGCCCAACTGACAATCCTAAATACGTTGTCAGTGCCATTCCTCGCACGTTCAGGATCATCCAGCAAACGACGTCTAATTGTCAAATTGGGCCTATACTGGTTAGAACTTACTTAAACCTAAAAGATTCTGAAAGGATTTAACATGGTACATGCTGAAAGGAACAAGTTACAGTTTAAAAATAAGGGATCCCCTATTTAAGATGGAAATTCTTCTCTTAGATGGTCATTTACCTCTTGAATTATCTTCCAAAACAGCAGTTTAATTGTCAGGGGTTAAGGGGGACAAGTAAGAAAGTTGAGTTAAGACCTTAATCAGTTTAGCCATGATCCTATTGAATCACAGAAAAGGTTCATTTAGCTGAATTGCCCACTTTCTGCTCTTATTTCTTATGACTTTAGCATTTGTATGGGTGTTTTCAGCAGGAGTGTGTTGATAATAATGTGATTTGAAAGGTAATTTCTGACTCATACTGTGTACATAAATGACAGTTAAATAAGCCAAAATCTGCTTTCAAAACAGCGGTGAAGCTAATGGCATCAGCATAATTTATTAATACACGGTTCAGCAACAGAGGGCTGGTTAACAGCTATTCTCTAAAGATTATTGAACAAGTTGTCTTGCTCCACACTAAAGTCATCTCACTATCTGACTCACCATCAAGATACATTGAAAGAGGTGAAGGTACTGTCTATGTGACAAATGAAATGAAACTCACTACAGGAAGTGATATCCTGTAATTTCAAGTCTAAGCACTTTCTTAAGAAATTATGATAATTGCTGCTAATCAAGCTTTTAAAAGTAGCTATTGTGAGTGTGAAATTTCATGCCTTCAGGTTTGGATTTTGAAGATTTAAAAATGCACAGTTGTTTTCTTTTACTTTTCCTTTTGGCCTCGTTTCACTTTCCCTTGCTCTAATGTATCAGTTTTTGTTCCTGATTTAACCAGAGGTCACCAATTCTAATTTACACTTTGCTCTCAGTCCGTGCACGATTTATTTCACAACCCTTTGGTGGCCAGTGGGGCAGAGTTGTACCTGTTTGTGCAATCAGCTCAGGTTTCTGATGCCTGGTTTCCTACTTTGCCACACTGCCTGTTCATACTTGAACAACTTGCCACATAAAAAGCAAACCACCTACAAGTACAAGGGCACTTCGAATTAGTAGCTAACACTGTTAGGAGCTCCCGTCACGGGAAAATCTGGCTCATCATTTCTGAAAGGGTTTCAGAATTTCTTTAGTGTGTTATAAATTGGTAACACTTTGCAGTCACAAATACTACTGTCTACGATAGGATGTCACCAGAGCATGAATGAATTGCAGCCACTGCCAGTATCAACACCTTTCAGTGAGAAGAGAAGGAAAAGGGGGAAACTTAGTGGGGAGAAAGAAACAGTGACATATTAAGAAGATCACAGACAGGTTGGAGATAAATTCCATATGGTTTTTCCTCAAGTAAACAACTACTTTATGTACCCAGACTGCAGCATTCACATTCAGTGGATCTCTTCAGGCCTACCTGATAAGGTTCACCCTAGTTATCACTGTCGCCTTCCAGAACTAAATTGTCCAACACACTGCTGACAGGGCAATAATAAAACTATTCCACACGTGCAGGTGGCATCTCTGAGAGGTCTCAAGGTTCAAGGCAAGGCCATGAAGAGTAGGTGGAGCAAGCCAGCCAAGTGGGACAGTCTGTGCGCTGGAAGGACGGGAAGTGCATGCTGCTACTTTCGCAAAGCCCTGAACTTCTCCTCAGCAATATTTATCTCCAAACCACATGGAGCCCAGTGAGAATTAGCATGTACCTGTGGTGAGTAAACTGCATAACAGACGCTGCACAATATGTGAAGCAGAGCGAGGACACAAGGGAAAGTGAGGCGCAAGGGAGAGAGTGTAAATATCACCACAAGACTTGGTATAACCACATAAATCAGTCTTCTCGTTTGAAGCTTCATCATTAAAATGCACTTTTTAAATTGTTTATTGCATTAGCCCCATCAGCATAACATCCAGTTCCTCTTTTTCCCTCGTATACTCACCTAGCATTTATGCCATTTGCCTCAACTACTCTGTGTGATAGTGAGTTAAACTTCCAATCACTCTGAGTCAAGGAATTTCATTCACCGTATCCCAAAATTTCAAATGCTGGAGTTCTGAATAGGTTCACAAGCAAACAATCACCTGCAACTTCTCAGCCCAAGTTTAGACTTTGTGAATTGTGAACATCTACTATTTTAGAATTACAGCTTCCTACAACGTGTAGCTAGTCAATAATCGACTGACATTTAGTTGAGTTAATATATCTACTGATAAGTTTAAGTTTAGTTTCTATGTTCAGTGTGCTGCAGTAAAAGTCACCATTGCCCTTGAGGACCGTAGGGCTGCCCTCTCATTAGACCTGAGGGTCACCACTCCTCAGACGAGGGGTAATTTTGAAAAGGATAGTCCTCCCTGGTAACCTCAGCCAGGTGGGAATTGAACGTATGCTGTTGGTGTCACTCTGCATTGCAATTCAGCCATCCAGCCAATAGATCTGGTTGGAGAGCACTTATTTAACTTACTTACCAGGCAATACCTGATAAGAGAGTGAATGTGACTCCAGCAAATGCAGCTCAAATTTAGACAAGCCTAGCGCTAGGACTATCAGTTACAACTTCAGGCTTCTTGGGAAGAATATTCAAATCATACTCACAGCTATTATATTCACTGAATTATTTTGATTTCTGAAGTTTATAATCATAGAAAATAAAGTTGTTTCCTGTTGTTTAAATACCATTGACACTTGGACAACATACTAAGACAATGAACTGTCTTACACACAGGATATGGAAATGGGATTTATGTGATGGACAATATAACCCGTGAGTTATGTGAGCAACATGACTTTGAAAAGTTTGTGAGGAGGAGTTGATAAAATCTTTAATTTCTGTGAGGTCTAAGCAGAGGCTTCAATAAGACTGGAACGGAGCCAGAAATTAAGCTTAAAGGAACACTGTTTCCAGGATTTGCTGCTCTGGTTGGAGTGGTCTAGTCTATCAATGAAGACAACGGGCAAGGAGGGGCCTTTAATGGAGTGACCAAGAGTTGTGTTCACCCCTTGTGAAGTTATACAGAAACTCAGTGATGCACACACCAAGGTTATGTTACCATATTAGGTTATATTTTCCTCCTTCTTTCTATATCATTTGTAATTGTTTTACTATCGTTACATTCAATAAATTACTCTATCCCCATCTATCATTTACTCCCTATCCCCTCCCCCTCCCTATCTTCTGCATAAACCAACATTTTCCTAGCTGCTGTACTATCAGTTCTGAGGGAGGGTCACCAGACCCAAAATGTTAACTTTGATTTCTCTTCACAGATGCTGCCAGACCTGCTGAGCTTTTCCAGCAACTTCCGTTTTTGTCACTCCCACGGTACACTGGCTCCATCAGAATTCTGCTGCCAAATGATTACATGCCTCATTAGAAGGACCCAATGTAGCAATGCAAATAATGCAGTGGCTGCAATTTGTGATGAGTTCTCTGGCCTTAGAGACAGCAGATCATTATTCCACACTGCTCCACTTATTTTTGGTGGAGCAGAACCTGTAGAGTTTCCAGGCCTCAATCTTCTGTGAGCTTCAGCTAAGAATGCAAATACATAGATATCTGAATAATGTCTCTCATTTTAATAACTTTTCCCGACATTTCTCTTTTGCTTCTGTATAGCTTCTCTCCTCTGCTGCAACATTTCACATTTGGTCTCACTCTCCTGCTTCACTTTTTCGCAGCATCCTCATTTCATTTCTTACAGCGTCACGCAGCATAGAGACAGACCCTTCGGTCTAACCAGTCCATGCCGACCTTAATCCCAAACTAAACCAGTCCAACCTGCCTACGTTTGGCCCATGTTCCTCCAAACATTTCTTATTCTTGTACTTATCTAAATATCTTTTAAACACTGTAACTGTACCCACATCAAGCACTTCCTCTGGAAGTTCATTCCATACAAGAATCACGCTGTGTTAAAAAAATTGCCCCTCATGTCTTCTTTAAATCTTTTTCCTCTCACCTTAAAACTATGTCCCCCTAGTCTTGAAATACCCCACCCTAGGGAAAAGACACCTGCCAGTCATCTTATCTATACCCTGATGACTTTATAAATCTATATAAGGTCACCCTTCAACCTCCTACCTTCCAATGAAAAGAAGTCCCAAACTATCCAGCCTCTCCTTATAACTCAAGCCCTCCATTCTCTGCAACATCCTGGTAAATATCTTCTGAACACTCTCCAGCTTAGTAATATAATAAAATCCTTCCTATAGCAGGGTTTGAGCATTTTCCCAATGACAGACATGAGGCAAACGAGCCTGTAGTTCCTGGGTCTCTGTCTCCTGCCTTTCTTCAACATTGTGCTAGAAAGGTTAGACAAGTACAGTGGAACAAATGAACCACATCATCAATGGTAGACTACAGATGCTAATGATTCTCAGATACTTACACTAAACAGGAGTTCTGATTGACAGAAGCACGAAATGGTGAAGAGATTTTGTAGTCTTCAGTTAGAAAACAAAGGTGACCTTTATCTCGTGTGGCCATCATGAAGTCAATGTTCACATGAAAGCACTAAGAGTTTCCAATACGGAAATGTAACTCCTGAATGCAAAGGTGAGTCTTACCTTCCCCAATTCTTTATCTTCCAGGGCAAGAACTCCCGTGCTCTCTGTGAAGAATTTGATCTTGACAATTGGTCGAGGATGTGTGGTGGTAAAATCTCCCTGAGTGCCCCACCTGCAACCGATAGAAAGCAAGGAGTGATCTTCTACCTTTATTTATGGACAGTTAATAGCGCCAAATTTAGCATGGTCATAAATGTTTACATTGACTTTTTTTAATCACACAGACATGAAGAATATTTTGTCACTATTGTTTAGACCCATGTAGTTGGACAACTTGTGCTGTTATTGCAGGGGTATTGTCATGAAATGTTAGTGCTTCAGTTATGCCAGAAGAGTTACACGTGCCCAAAGCTTTATGTTCACAATCTCACACCAAGAGCATTGATCCAACCTTTCAGAGGAGATTGCCAAATTCCTAAAATTGTCTGAAGACTGTGGCAAACATTGTGTACTGAATACAGAGGTAAAGTCCCAATTAGTTTTAAAAATAAAAGGAATCATTAACCAGTGAGGAGAACAATTTTTGGTGGTGATACATTGTACCATGGGAAAGCAGTGCACAAGGAAAAAAAAATCACCAATAAGGCTTCCTCAAATCACACTTTAGCTTTCGCGCCTTTGTTATTGTTAGTGTGGTGTTCTTCCTTTTCAATGCTAGGATGGGGAGAGAGATAAGCAGTTTCGCAATTACACCTGACACGGACACAATTCTTCTTCTAAATGTATGCTTACATGTGGGGTTTAGCATTAAATTTGACAAGATGTTCAGCAATAAACTTTGAACACAAAGACATTAGTTAATGGCTGTTTGTGCACAGTGTGTGTTTTGGAATAAAGATGCTTATTGAAATCCACAGGTCGCAATGTTACATGTTGTTCTCAGATCTCTTCATGGTCTTGTTACTACCCATTTCAATAACTTTTGCGAGAGTCATACAGCATGGAAACAGATCCTTCCATCCAACCGGTCCATGCCGACCACATTCCCAAACTAAACTAGTCCCAACTGCCTGCGCTTGGCCTTTGTCCCTCAGTATCTATTCAGTTCCTCGAAAGATCATGGCTGATCTGATTCTGGCCTTGACTGCGCTTTCCATCCTGCCTTCCATAACTTTCAAAGTTCCATAACTCCTTTGTTAATCAAAAACCTGTTTAACTCAAACTTGAATATATTCAGCAAACCAACCTCCAAACGTTTCTTATTCATGTACTTATCTGAATGTCTTGCAAATGCTGTAATTGTATCCACATCCACCACTTCCTCTGGAAGTTCATTCCTCACATGAGCCACTCTGTGTAAAAAAATTGCCACTCATGTCTGTTTAAAATCTTTCTCCTCTCACCTTAAAAATATGCCTCTTAGTCTTGAAATCCCCCAACCTAGGGAAAAGACACCTGCCATTCACCTTATCTGGACCCCTCATAATTTTATAATCTCTATAAGGTCACCCCTCAACCTCCTATGCTCCAGTGAAAAAAGTCCCAGTCTACCTAGCCTCTCCTCAAACTCAAGTCCTCCATACCTGGCAACATGCTTGTAAATCTCTTTGGAACTATCTCCAGCGTAATAATATCCTTCCTATAACAGGGCGACCAAATCTGAACACAGTACTCCAGAAGTAGCCTCACCAACGTCCTGTACAACCGCAACACAACTTCCCAACTCGTTTACTCAAAGGTCTGTACAATGAAGGCAAGCGCACTAAACACCTTCTTAACCACCTCATCTATATGTGATGTAAACTTCAAAGAATTATGTACCTGTACCCCTAGGTCTCTATGATTTGCACCACTATCCAATGCCCTATTATTATTAACCCTATTACTCTCAGAAATTTCCACACACCTCCAATACTGGCCTCTTGCACATCCCCAATCTCTGTTGTTTCAAATTCTTCAGCTATTTTGGCTAAACGCTCAGGAGTTCCTTCATGCCCTCTCCTTACTCCTACTTTGCATTCCTTCTGTAAAATGTTCACTAAAACGCACCTCACTTCAACCAAGCTTTTGGTCACCTGTTCCAATGTCTTCTTCATATAGCTTGAAATCAAATTATTTTGTAATTCTCCTAAGCACCTTGGAATATCTTACTGCATTACAGCTGTTATTGTAGCTGTGACATTAAGAGATTATCTGTCCCTCACGTCAGCCGAGCTACATGCAGCATTTAATTTATCACACTGTCATCCAGCCTCCAAAGATTCTGCGCAAAATTTAATAAATTCGCTTCATTTCAAATGGTCACAAAAGATTTAATGAAGCTATTTAATTTCATCCAAAATGAAATGCATCTTTTTAAATATAAATAATTTGAAAGCACCAAGGATTTAGTAATAGAACATACAAGAGGCAGTTATTAATGGCTAATTTCTAGGTCCCCGATTCCAGATTATTCATGTGAAATGTGCACCCTCATTAAATTAATTATCTGAAGAAAGATACAGGATCCTCAGTTGACACAATTCAACACAACACAATGAAGCACATTTCAGCGTACTTGCAAAATCTTCTCGTCTGCTGTTATTAGACTTCTGAATGGACCTCTCAAATTTTAAACTTAAATGTTGATCTCGGTCTTTATGCACCTTCTCTGCAGCCGTAACATTGTATTCCTCACTGTGTTCTATTACCCTAATGCACTTTGTATGGTATGATCTGCCTGTACTGCACATAAAACAAAACTTTTCCACTGTACCTAGGTACATGAGATAATAATAAATGAAATCAAATCAAATCAAGCAGAGGTATAATTTCCAAGGAGCTCTATGCAACAGCAGTAGTTAGCATTTACAACTTTAATATTGCTAAATTCTTTGTATCAACTTGTGAAAACATTTAGGATCTACTAAACTTACTGAAATAAAGTGTTGGCAGTCCTTTCTACCAGCAACATTTTACTTTTGAAATTGATGAGGCACATTGATGTTCACGTACATTTCTGCACTTGTCATTCGAAGCTCAGTTGATACCCAGAAATATTACCGACCCGTTATATAAATAAATACATTTTTCTGCATGAGTAATCGACAGTGAGTGATGCTGAGTGATAACTTTCTCACCTCGATATTAAAAGCATATCATACAGACAGGTAATACTTTTATGAACTGTCTGGCTACAATTCTGTTCCACTTCAGCTGTTCATGTTGCTAGTGATCAATCACTGTTGAGGTGAGTGTGTGCTTGATCCATGGAATTTGGAGTCTACATCTGAGCTGGCTAGAGTTATTTCATCCAAGCAATTAATTCCTGCATTGCAAACAGTGACTACCCTTCAAAAAGTATTTCAATGGTTGGAGGGTACTTGGGATGCCTTGTGGTTATGAAAAGTGCTATATAAATACAAATTCTTTTTTCAATCTTTGGATACCAGCTCTGCCATTTTTCATGTTGAAATTTTGATGAGCTCGAATCAACAGGGTCCAAAGAAAACATCTAGATCCTGGAAAGACTACAGAAATGGCCAAAAGACTCTTTGTTAATGGCAGAGCAAAGTTTTGATGAAAGGTTAAGAAAACCTCAGCTCTTCAGTTGAAGGGTGAAAATGAAGATTCATGACTTTGATTTCTGGGATGAAAGGGTTGCTTTGTGTGGAGGGATTGAGTAGAATGAGCTTATATTTGTTGATGTTTAGAAGAATCAAGCGATCATATTGAAAATGATTAAACTTTTAGAGGGCTTGACAAGGCAGATGCCAAGCAGTTGTTTCCCCTGACTAGGTCATCTATAAATAGCATTCATAGTCTCAGGTCAACACTTTTGGGATTGAGATGAAAAGAAATTCCTTCACTTTGAAACTGCGAATCTTCAGAATTATCTACCATAGATGGCTATTGCTATTGGTTGTTGAGTACATTTGCATGCTCATGCACATGCAATACAGGGTTTATGGAAAATGGACACTACTTTTAAAGCAAATTGGAGAGTGGACACTCTGCTTTTGAAGGAAAATGGAGTTGAGAGGTCAAGAGTTCATGGAATCTTACAGAGCCCTGGAAGTTAGTTTGCCTTTCTGGAAAAGACATTCAAATGTGAACAATCTTTGAGAACATTTTATTGAGCAGGCATTAAAACCCAACAAACCCATATGTGGATTAATGACTGACATTATCCAAACAATTACAAAAAGCTATTTACAATGGACTTACTTCCTGGCTTCAGAGTGGAATTCCAAAGAATGAGTTTGAGAAGAATCTCATTTGATCCCATGGATAAAACTCAAACACCACTGTTTATCAATAGCCAAGGCATCAGTGAGCATTTATGAGGACAATGAGAAAGAGATGCTCTGGTCAGAAGACAAAAAACAGGCAAAAAAGACAAAAAAAAGGCATTTAATGTGACACAGTAGGCCAGGCAGCATCAGAGGAGCAGGAAAGCTGACGTTTCGGGTTGGGACCCTTCTTCAGAAATGTCCCGACCCGAAACGTTAGCTTTCCTACTCCTCTGATGCTGCCTGGCCTGTTGTGTTCCTCCAGCTCCATACTGTGTTATTTCAGACTCCAGCATCAGCAGTTCTTGCTATCTCTGAGAGCAGAGCAGTCGGACAGACAAAGGAGTTGATAACGACCTGGCTGGGAGAGTGAATAGTTGTTAATGGGGACTGTTCGTGACTAACAATAGGTGGTGTGTGATGCCAGACTATGTGATAACAAGGCCTGGTGTGTGGGGTCGGGGGCTAGGACATGGGAGAGTTTAGGCTCTAAAATTATTGAACTCGATATCGAGTCCGGAGGGCTGCAGGGTCTCCAAGCGGAAAATGAAGTGTTCTTTAATTCAGATTAATTCAGGCTGACCAGTACCTATCTATTTAAGGAACTAAATCAAGTTTTCACTGCAAAGGTCAAAATATACCTCAAAAGGAGTGAAGCCAGAGAAACTTGCTACATCAAGCAGTAAGCCACTGCAGATCCGTCTTCATAAACTTCAAACATCTGTTTCTTCAGAGAACTAAAAAAAGGAATGATAGACCTGCAACGTTGTGAGATGAACGCATAAATAGAGAAGTGTACGAGTGAATGTTTGAATTTGTAAGATCTATGTGCCGGCTGTCTCTTTTATAACGACCTTTTCTTGCATGTGTCCTTGTGACAGTGTGAGTGGATACTGCTGCA